CCTGCCATACCTAATTTTTAACTGTGGCAGCTAATCTTTTTTTTCCGTGCAGGGTAAACTCTAAGAAAAAATTCTCTCCGTGTATAATTACATGTTACTATAATTGATTATTATTACTATAATGTTAGTAATAATATAGGTATAGTTCTATCAACAAATATATATAGTTGGCACAACCCTCCAAAATAACTATAATTATAATCATTTTTCATGAAATCATGAAATCTTCGTGACTTGTTCTCGATAAAAATTCGCTAACTCACTCCTTCGCTCGGCTTTACGTCGACGTCCGTCTCCGGCGACTTCTGGCGACTGCGGCCTCGACATTGAGCGAGGGGGTGGCCCTTTGAAGCCACGTCCGCGAAAGGGCGAGATCCTTCCTGTCGGCAAAGTGGACGACGCATCGCCAGTTTCTGGACTCGCTGGCCTGGACTCAGCAAGTATCACGAAGCTGGAACGACGATGTGCCCTGCCGAAGGACGTCGACGTCGGGGCGACCTTGTAGGGCTCGGGCGCACGCGGGGGCGGCGGTGACAGGTACATGTTGTCGGGGACGGCCAGCACCCGGAAGGGCGGTGGACCCTGCCGCGCGACGTGGCCATCATGATCGCTCCGCCTCATTCTTACCGGACCCTATCTTTCGTTGAGAAATCATAACGTTAGTACGATCAATCTGCGCTTGCATTAATCCCCGAACTTGTGTCATTTATGCAAACACAGTTCACAGTCCTCGCAATCTAAGATTAAAATAACAAGATAGAAGAAAAAAGAAGAAAAATAAAAAAATTTTTTTTTTTAATTTATTATATAAAATATTCGGAAATAACTATGACTTCATATTGTTTTAACATTTTAATGACGAATTAACACAATTGTAAAATTGATAATCTACTTATTGTTAGAATTATTATATATAATATATATTTATTTAAATTATTTAAATAATATTCAATAAATATTGTGTGACTGTTACATTCAAATTCGGGGATTAATTACCTATTTAATAATATGCTGAATTCATTTTTGTATCTAGATTTTTTTAATAATATTAGTATAAACGAGAATATATTAAAGCATGCGGTAAAATTATTTTTATTTTATTTGATTCTATTAATATATTATGTGATTCCATTAATTTTAAACAATTTATGTACTCAATACGTCTTCAGTAAATAATTTCTATATAATCTAAGCTCAAATGTTCGTACCTGGTGCCCTTCATGCAGATCGCCGAAGTGAGAGGGACGCCGTGATCCACCGTTGCTCCCACCTGCAAAAAATAGAAATCTCTACTGAGAAAGAGAGAGTGCGTGACGGTCGTTAAAAAATAAGGAGAAATTTTTATTTCGATAAAAGTCGAGATAGCATAAAATTGCGGTTCCGCTGCGGCAGATGGAAAACCGCAATTGCAGAAATGAAAACGTCCCGACCATCCTGATCGATCGATTACGCTCGCGCGTAATACGAAAAGTTTAAACAAATTTCGCGTTTCTACATTTATTTTATTTTTCTACATTTATTTTATTTTATCTGCAGTGAAGACGAGAACTGTTTTTCGTTCGTTATTTTCGTTATCAATTGTTCGTAGTGCTCTTAGTTGCTTGCCAGT